GTGTGTGTGAGCGTATGAGTGTGAATCAGGGTGTGAGTGTGTGTGAGTGTGAATCAGGGTGTGTGAGAGTGTGAATCAGGGTGTGAGTGAGTGTGTGTGTGAGTGTAAATCAGGGTGTGAGTGAGTGTGTGTGTGTGAGTGTGAATCAGGGTGTGAGTGTGTGAGCGTGTGAATGTGCGTGCCCATTGAGATTATGGTGGTTGTTCTGATTGGACCATGAGAGTTGGGGTGGGGGGGTGTTGGGCTCACTGTGTAACATGGGTCGCTCCCCCGGGCAGCCCCTCACCTCTGACCTGGCTCCCTGCCCACAATGGGATTGGTCTGTGCCCCTCGGCAGTGCCACGTGACTCCAGCCATGGTCACTCTCCCCAGGGAACTGATGGACCTCTGACTGGCTGGAACGCTATCCAATGCAGACAGTTAATTCTGACTCTCCGAAAATCAGGGGCAGGGCCTCTCAGAACCTAACCAGGTCTTCCTGGCTGGGGATGGGGCCTCTCACCTGGCTTGTGCTAGTTATGCTAGTAAACAGGCAGTGGGTGATAGTTACCTGCTGATGGCATCCAGAGCTTCCTTGTTGGAGGGTGGCACTATGAAGCAGACAGATGGTACAAGTGCCTCATTGCCAGATGTAGTCACCACTTTCCATTTTTTGGGTTGGCTGTTATTCAGCAGAATGTACTCATCTCCTTTATTCACTGTGATCTGAGAGAATGACAAACACCCAACATTCAGCATCAAATAGTAGCATCAGGACCAATGGGCAGCTACGCCACTCTCAACATTTCTCTCTCTATCTGTCTCTCTCAACAATTCTCTCTATCCACCTTCCTCACGCTCTCTCATCTCTCCATCTCTCTGTCACTCCATTCCAACATCTTTCTCTCAAGTCTCATCATCTCTCTCTATACATTTCCCTGTCCCTCTCTCTCTCCATTTCTCCCTCTTAAAACATCTCTTGCTCTCTCTAAAAATTTATCTCTCACTCTGGCTCTATCTCTATCTCTCCCTTTCCATTTGTCTCACTCTCTGTACCTTTTACTTGCAAAAATGTTCACTTCCTCTCTGGCCATGGGAGAGGTGCCAGAGGACTGGAAGACAGTCAATGTGGCTCCATTATTCAAGAAAGAAACAAGGGATAAGCAAGGGAACTACAGGCTGGTAAGTCTCACCTTGGTGGTGGGAAAGCCACTGGAATCAGTTGTGAGGGAGGGACTGAATTAACCTGCACTTAGGGAGGCAGGGCTTAACCTAAAACAGTCAGCACGGTTTTGTTAAGGGAAGGTCATGTCTGTCTGACTTGACGGAATTTTTTTGAAGAGGTGACCAAGTGTCTAGATGAAGGCAATGTTTTTGATGTTTTCTGCTTGGATTTCAGCAAGGCTTTTGATCAGGTCCCACATGGGAGACTGATAGCAAAGGTAAGAGCCTGTGGGAGCTAAGGAAATTTAGCAAATTGGTTTCACAATTGGCTGAGTGGCAGGAAGCAGGGGTGATGGTTGAGGGGTGTTTCTGTGACTGGAAGCCTGTGCCCAGTGGGATCGCACAGGGATTGGTGTTGGGGCTCCTGCTGTTTGATATACACAATTTAAACTGAATGTAGCAGAGTTCATCAATAAGTTCATTGGTGAAATAAAAATGGATGGGGAAGTAAATAGTGAGGAGGACAGTGTTAGATTACAGGAGGGTATGGATGGGCTGGTCAGATGGGCTGGTGAGTAGCAAAGGAGAAATGTGAGGTGATGATGGACTTGGGCAGGACAAACAAGGCAAGGGAACACATGATGAACAGTAGGACCCTGGGAAGCCCCGAGGGACCTTGATGTGCATATTGTGTGCATTTCTGGTGCCCACACTATAGGAAGGATGTGGAAGCTTTGGACAGAGTGCAAAATCAGGATATTGTCGAGATTGGAGCGTATTAGCTCCAAGGTGAGATTGGACAAACTTGGAGATAGTAGGAACTGCAGATGCTGGAGAATCCGAGACAACAAGGTGCAGGGCTGGATGAACACAGCAGGCCAAGCAGCA